TAGTCGATCGTTCGGGAGCTTCATAAGCTTTCTTCTGCCCGAACATCACAGCAACCGATGCCAACCGACACCGGCACACTTAGGGATCCGCAGAGTTTGCGCATCATGCGTAACAGACCTCAGCAACTCAGCATTTTGGCTAATCTACTTTATTTACATATAAACACACACGGAGCACTGCAACATGGCTCCCCCTCTCTCTAGCACCAGACAGCAAAGAGAAAAAGGGCAAAGGACAATAGTCCCACTTCACGGAACACAGTAACACAAACATCCTGTCTTCGTCACTTCCCACTCTGTGGAGTCAAAACATATACCATCATGTGAAAGACAAAAATCCCATGTCTGCAATCATGGAACAGGAATTCTAACACTTACAACACTGGAAAATGTCTTTTGAGCCCATTGTTTTCAAACTTTGATGCCAACACTGCTTAGGATTAAATTCTGGAAAGCAAGAAAATGCAAAATAAAGTAACTTCCATTCTCCAGCATGGTAGTTTTAATTGTTTCCCGTGAGAAATTATTAAACTTTTAGGAACAGAAGCTATTATATAAGTACAGCTGCTACTTCAGATGTTAGCAGAAGCAAAGGATGATCAAGTCAGAAGATTCATGTCCCATGTATGTGCAAAGTCAAACCAGTCATTTGTTTCATGCCTGCAAAGCTTTTTAAATAATGTGAGTGTTGCCACCTAGTGGTTTTATTTACTTCACAATGAATACTACACAAAATGAATGCAAATCACATATGACTCATATCTAATCATTAGATTAGAGTCTAATGTTAACATTCATTTATTTTTTTAGAAATAGAAAAAACAGTAAATAAATACAGTCAGTGGAAAAGTTATTTCACAATGCAAAAATAAACCAAAGAACACTGAATTCACCATTGCCAAGATAAGATGCTACAGAGAAATACAGGGAAGCCATGCATTGAGGAAACAGCTGTTTGCTTAGACATCTTGAACACCACTTCTAGTTGTTTGTTCATTTAATAATAGAATCAAGCAATTTTAGAACTGGGAGGAATCTTAGGGCTCATCGAGGCCAGTTGTTCTCAACTTGTATGAATACAGGTCTCTTTGTTACCTAAAAAAAACTTCCAGGGGCTGTTGGTGGCCACATGCTAATCTTTGTAATGTTAGGCTTCATTAACTGAGAAAACATAATGACAAAAACTATTATGAACTTGGAAACCCTTTTAGCTTGCGTTGATCTCAAAAACCTTCAGTGCCTTTTTTTTTAGTTGGATAGGCAATTAACAGGCTTGTTTCACAAATAAGGGAGAAGGAGCGTTGCTGGCTTGGTTCAGTTTGCCTTTGTTCTAGTTTTTAGCATGTGCTTAGTACCGTAGTTTCAGGCTGTGAGCCGCCCTGATATCCATGGGTGGAGGGCAGTAGTAGTAGTAGTAGTACTAATAATAATAATAATGGTGATTATATTTTTTGCAGGGCTTGGAGTGAGTGGGTGATGGTCAGCTGCTAGTATGAATGGGGTCGGTACTAAATGGTCTGGCGTGCTTTACAACCACTAGGGACCTTGTTGGTGGGGCCGGAGAAGGAGCCCACCCCCGAGGAAGAAGAAGAGCAAAGGGAGGAGGATTCCCTTCCCGAGATAGAGTTGCCCGTAACATTAAACACAGGGCACGATTCCAGGGAGAGAGAGAAACCAGGGCAGCAGCTGCTGTTACCTACGGCTCGGGCTAGATGTAGCTGAACAGGATGGGCAAGGAGGGCTACAAACCCAGTGAGGAGGCTCCGCAGCTGACTAGAGGAGGAAGAAAGGGGGCAAGTCGGGGGGCACCTCTCTTCTTCTTCTTCTTCTTCTTCTTCTTCTTCTCCTCCTCCTTCCTTCCTTCCTTCCTTCCTTCCTTCCTTCCTTCCTCCTCATGCTCCACTTCCCCCTCGCCATCACCCACCTCCCTCTTCCCACAGGGCGGACAGGCGAGAGAGAGAGAGATAGAGAGGGTGTTGCACACCAGGCCAGCCATATAGTTAGCGGGGCACAGCTTCCATCCTAAGCCTCTGCAGGGATCGCTCTCCTCCTGCAGAAGCTTGGGAAGGAAGCTGCAAGCCCGCCAGCCATATGGTTGGCAAGGCGCAGCTGGCAGGCATGCAGGGAAAGGGCAGGCCACCAGCAAAGCCACGCAGATCCCCCACTCACTGGGGCGCCCCTGAGAGGCCATCGCCCTGGCGCAATGAACCACTAAGCCCTATGGGAAAGACGCCTCTGCTTACTGTTCATCAGCTGGCTGCAGTAGAAGTCAGTACAGTGGTACCTCGGGTTACAGACACTTCAGGTTACAGACTCCGCTAACCCAGAAATAGTACCTCAGGTTAAGAACTTTGCTTCAGGATGAGAACAGAAATTGTGCAGCAGCGGCTTGGCAGCAGCAGGAGGCCCCATTAGCTAAAGTGGTGCTTCAGGTTAAGAACAGACCTCCGCAACGAATTAAGTACTTAACCCGAGGTACCATTGTAAATGTAAAGTCAAGAAAGGAACTGGCTAGTTAATTTTTCTCTGCCACACTAGGGATTAACTTGCCCACCTACCCAACACTGTTCACTGCTTCAACAGTTCATAGAAATCAGGCCGGTAAAGCAGAATTTCACAGGTTGAGAGTAAATCACCCAGAGTGGTGAACCAAGCCTGGTTGATGCCAGGGCAACTGGACACCCGTTTTAAATGTTCCCTCTGGGTACAAGTGCTATCTGGAAAGAAATCCACACACCTAGGAAATTGAGCAATGTATCATCTTCAGCTCCTGGTTCAGGAAGCTCTTTATGACATGGGCCTGCCAATAGGTAACAGCCACTTGTTCTCTAAGCCTGGCAACAAGACGGCACTCTTCATTAAGTGTTTTCCACAAGATGAGCATGCACATTTTCTGTCACTGAAACCTCAGTTCTATACTTGCTTCCCCTCTCATAAGCAGTGGCGGAGCATATGCCCATGCTACCCAGGGCGGGTGCACTCCCAAGGACGGCGTGGCGCAGAGGGTGCCCTCCCAGGTGCAGGATAGCTGCTTGGGTGCCCAGAGCCAGGGGCGGAGTGAGCCAATCACGGGGCCGGAGTGAGCCGCCATGGCAGACATTCGGCGCACTGCCCGCCCGCGACTCCCAAGCCTCCCCCAAGCCATCAAAACAAAGGGGGAGGGGGAATGCCACCAGCAAAGCATTGCAGCTCCCTGCCCTTACCCCACCCCCACTGCCCCACCGCTTCCTACGCCCCTGCTCATACATACCATTAAACTTATTGGGTTTGTGAAGGAGAGGGAGCATTCAGCAGAGCCTCTCACACCCCCTTCTTTACCCAACTTTGCACAACAGCCCTGCAGTGCTGTTATCCAGGTCTCACTGTCCAGTAGTTGCTGCCACCACCATCCTTTTTGTCAGAGAGCCAGTGTGGTATAGTGGTTAAGAGCGGTAGACTCGTAATCTGGTGAAGCGGGTTCGCGTCTCCGCTCCTCCACATGCAGCTGCTGGGTGACCTTGGGCCAGTCACACTTCTCTGAAGTCTTTCAGCCCCACTCACCTCACAGAGTGTTTGTTGTGGGGGAGGAAGGGAAAGGAGAATGTTAGCCGCTTTGAATCTCCTTCGGGTAGTGATAAGGCGGGATATCAAATCCAAACTCTTCCTCTTCTTCCTCTACAGCACCAGAAACAAAGAGGGGAACTGGGGATGCACCAAAGCCATTGGTTTTTCAAAAGGCCCTGAGCCAGTGGACCCTGCACTCTGTGGCAAGAGATGCTTGGCATACTGGCTTAGAGAAATGAGAGTGGGCAGATCAGGGTCTTTCTTCCCAGAGTTTCTTCTAAGTAGACATATTAGGATTGCACTGCACTTAGAAAGGCCAGAGAGAGAGAAAAGATCTCTGGAAAGGACAACTTACTATTGACTTTCTGTCTCCTTTTGTAGAGTCCCTTTCTCACACAGGAAAAAGTTCTGAAGAATGGAAGGCAAAAGGTGAAAGGTGAAATGTTCGTTAAAGCTGGAAATACCTGACAAGTGTTATAGCATCACAAAAGAGTCTTCAAGTGTTCCAGCATTCGGAGGGGGTGGGGCAGAGAAAGGGAATAAGAGCAGGCTTTTAAAAATCCAAGGACAAAAAAAGAACAAACTCACTAATGGGAAGAAAAGAGAATGGAGTATAAAAGCAGATGCACAAAAACCTGTGCATTTAAGTGTTTTGAATTATGGAAGCCTTTTTAAAGAGAACCTAACTTGTATTATGAATTCTGACAATACAGCTTTGGGATTGTTGTTGTTTTATTTTTTAAAAAACTATTCTTGCAATCAAAGTCGGTGGTACACTGCAGCGGTTTGGTGAGAATTTCTACTTTTTTACAAATAAATTAAAAGCTTTAGAGATACAGCTGGAGTGAATGGTGAGGCAGAAAGATCTCTAAGCAGCAAATCCCTTTGGAAGTAGCACCTTCAGGCTAACCTGTTATTCTCAATCTCCACAAAAGTGTGTCCGAGCAGTGAAGGGGGTGAACAAGCTGCTACAGCTGCTGCTGCCAGGGCCCTGCACCTTCGCATTTTCCCAACTCCACATGCCCACAAGAAGTGTCCGGTCTGCCTGAGATGGGGCAGGGCTACATCACAGCCCCCAGAGGAACTCCCCAGGAACAGGGAGACTGTCTTAAGGTGCTCTTTGAAGAAGCCTCCTCGCTCCTTTAAATGAAAGGGTGGAATAACTTTTTGTGCCCCCTGCGATAACCCCATATCACCTGTCTCCCCTCCTGGTTAGGAACCACTGGTCTAGACCAATCACCTACTACTCAATGTGGGGTTTACCACAGAGCTGAGGGACCAGTAATTGTTTGATCTGTTCATGACTAAGCCACTCCCATTTCTTTTTCACTGACACTCAAACATAGGTCTGTCCCATTTAGTGTGGGATTTTTATTTAAAAAATCAAGCTTCACGTTTAAATTGCATGTAAGCATGTAAATTATTGTTTTGATTTATATCCTACACTTCCTGCCAAACACCCTTTTTGTTGGTTTTGCTTATGCCAGTAGACTTATATTCATATTTCTATCACAAAAATTAACATCCTTCTAAGATAATTTTCTAAAAGGGTGCTTCTGACTCCCATCTTACCAGTCCATCCATTAACCCAGTTTCCTATTTCTGGTATTTACCCCTTTCAGTTGCTGTCTTTATCTCTATTCCTAAAGAGAAAATTCAGTGCAATTCCTTTAAAGGTTCAGTAGCTTTGCCTGGAAACAGCCATAGTCACTTTGACAGGAGTAAATATTCACACCTCTGGTTATTTGAAAGTATTTTCATGTAAACAACTAACTTGTAGTGGGAATGCTATAAATGGATATACTTCAGAAAAGACCAGCCAATGTTCCATTTGGTGCAGTCTCCTGAGTCGGAGAGTTCCCTCAGTTGTGCTCTATTAAAACAATTTAAGTTCAAGTCCTTTTAAAGGGCAAGAACAGCATCATTTTGAAAACATGAATTCACCCCAGAGATGAAGTTTACTTTTATCTCCTTGTCATATTTTTCAGCATCATCCTAATAACAACTACAATGGTCCCATGAAAACCACATTGGTATCAAAAAGGGCCCCCAATGTACAAACCAGAAGTTTTTGCACACCCAGGGGAGCACACCCCCCCCAAAAAAGTGGCGAAATCCAAATCAAAGGTGGTTCAATAGCCAAGGCAACACAGATAGCTTCCCTCTTCTCTCCTAAGAAAACACTTTTGTACCTTCTGAAGCCCCTACCCTCCAAATTACAAAAAATAGAATAAAACATGAAGACTGCAAAAACTGAGTTCCATTCAGTACCAAGTAAGTTATCTGTTATTTTTAAAGGATTCAGTCAAAGATGAGAGTGGGCAATGCTAAATGAGGGTGCTTAAGGCATCAGGGGTAGTAAGTAGGATGAGGGAGATTCAGTTGGCCATGAAGCTCACTGCATGCCTTTGGGTCACTCGTTTTGCCTCACGGGATTGTCCTGATGATAAAATGGAGGTGTGGAGCCTAGAATGCTGCTTTGAGCTCCGTGAAAGAAAAGTGAGACATGTAGCACAATAAGCATGCATTACCTGGAAACAGATGACAGCATCACCATAAAGTTTTGAAGCATCCATAGAAACAACATTTGGCTATTTGGGAAAGTTCTCTAGATGTCCTACAGCTGCATCCTGCGGCAGTGCTGTTGGCTGTGTAAGCAGGAAAAATAGTCTTTTCCAGGTTCTGTATAACTTCTCCTCAAATGATCTCGACATACATCTGAAAGCAAATTTCCTTTAGCAAAATTCCATCTCTCTGTATGTGTGAGATCAGAATCCTAGCCAACAATTGCTCAGAAATGCCGGATCTTTCTAGAGAAATTGTTTGCTATGACTGCGCATGGCACTTATCCTGCTTAAGATCTTGCCATACTCAAACTGACCCAAATGGCAATTACTATCTCTATCTGTGATAACGACTCCTCTTCTACTTTATCTCCAGAATCATGTCATTTCATTGAAGCATTAGATCATTAATACAAGGAACCTTTTCTTAATCAAGGATATTAGTATAGTAATAGTATCTATCAATCTATAACATTTAGTGCCTAAATTACCGTATTTTTTGCTCCAAAAGACACACCTAGTTTTTAGAGGAGGAAAACAATAAAAAAAATATTCTGAATGGGCAGGCCGGGTCTTCCTGTTATATACCTGCTGGGATTGACAAGGTATATGACCCTCACCTGAATCTCATTTAACTCTCGGGGGGGGGGCAGGAATTAGCATCAGACGTCATGTGCATGGAAGTTGCCAAATCAATTAACCAACTAGGGTTACTGTTAATAGCACCAGTTTTCCTATAACTTGATATTGCTGGATAGTTCCGATGAACTGCAAAAGCATTTTTAGCTTGCTTTCTGTTGCCACCCTGGAACTTTTCTTTATTGTAGTGCCACTTTGTTTTGTATGATTCCTTGCAAATGAAGGAAAACAACTTTTCTCCTTGTATATGTTGATAATATGTTTTTGTTTACTGAGAACAAAAGTAACTTACATTCTGGGCAACCTAGGGACGCCGGGTGGATCTTTGCACCCCAGCGCCACATATGCTTAAGACGGCCCTGTGAACGAGCTCAGTAGAAGGCAGTTCTCTCCTCCTGTTCTGCTTAGAGTGTCTCCTTCTTTCCTCTTTACAGACTGTAGTTTCAAGGATGGGGCTGGGGCAATGACAAGAAGATTGTCACTTTCACTTGGGTTGACTGTGTGCTATAAGACTGGTCTCCTCATACTGCAGGGTCTTCCATTTTACAGCGTGTTCATTCAAGTAGGGGAGGGGAGGGAAAGTGCCCTGCTGCAGGAATTCCTTTCCTCTTCTTAGATGGCATTTTTGAGGGATGGGCAAGAACAGTGCCATCCTGTTTCGCCACCCGAAATGAAATGGGAGGGTGCCGCCCCAACTCACCACCACCCAAGCCTCCCTTTTTACATATATAATTTTTTATTTGATTTTACAAATAAAAGTACTTAATTCGTTCTGGAGGTCCGTACTTAACCTGAAACTGTTCTTAACCTGAAGCACCACTTTAGCTAATGGGGCCTCCCGCTGCCGCCGCGCCATCAGAGCATGATTTCTGTTCTCATCCTGAAGCAAAGTTCTTAACCCGAGGTAATATTTCTGGGTTAGTGGAGTCTGTAACCTGAAGCATATGTAACCTGAAGCGTATGTAACCCAAGGTACCACTGTATAACAATCCAAATTACATAACCCTATTTAGAGATTTCTCCAAATCTCTGGACTTCCCACCTTCCCCTCCATGGATCCTATTGTCCACCTTCTCAACTGCATATTATTTCATAGTCCATATTTTATATCTTTCCATATTATCCATAATATTTACTACATTACAAGCGTTATTAAAATCCTGCTAAGTTTTTTGGCATAGTCCAACAGCTTGGTTTACCATTCCTCTCTGGTAGGGACTTTGTCTTCTTTACATCTCTGGGCTAATAGCATCTGCATTGCTGTTGTCACATACATGAAAAGTCTTTTCTGTTCCTTTGGAATGTCGGTACCTACAATTCCTAATAAAAGGCTTCTGGGTTTGTTTGTTTGTTTGTTTTTGTTTTGTTTTTACAAAAGTTATTTTAAACATTTTTATCACCCATTATTTAAGATGCTTATGCTCAGATTTCAGCCATAACTAAACAATCCTTCAACGATATTAAAGCAACAAATGTTTTGCCACCTTTGACAAACTTGCTTCAAGCCATCTCAATCCCTTGAATGTTTTAAATGAGATAAACATAAACTGTGGTAAAGCTTCCAAGAACCACTTGTCTGAACATTAGTCCATAATCTGAAGATAGAAAATGTCATCTTCCTTGTATAGAAACAAAAATGAAATATGACGGAACTATTGTTTACGGTCTGACACTCCAAGCTGTCTGCTAGGGATGTATTGACATAATTGTACCAAGACTAAAATTATGTGGAGATTGCTTCCTGAATTGTTCTGTTAATAGGTGTAATTTTCTCAGCCAGTATGAAACAAAATATCTGTCTTAGCCTGTTGTTTTTGTTTTCTAAATGACAATATTAATTACTGTTAGTGTACTATAATTTTCACAATACAGGAGTGAAAATACTGCTTTCGGGAACGTTTTAGATGCCCCACAGTGATTGGCCTTTTGCCAAACTTTCAAGGTAATAGCTCAGTTGTTAGATTGTTAGAATAGTCTATCAGTCTAATAAAGGGGGGTATGCTGTCTAGAAGATAGATAGATAGATAGATAGATAGATAGATAGATAGAGATGATAGATGATAGATAGATAGATAGATAGATAGATAGATAGATGATAGATAGATAGATAGATAGATAGATAGATGATAGATAGATGATAGATAGATAGATAGATAGATAGATAGATAGATAGATAGATAGATATAGATGATAGATAGATAGATATAGATAGATATAGATAGATTAGATAGATATAGATAGATAGATAGATAGATAGATGATAGATAGATAGATAGATAGATAGATAGATAGATAGATAGAGATAGAGAGATAGATAGATAGATAGATGATGATAGATAGATAGATAGATGATAGATAGATAGATAGATAGATAGATAGATAGATGATAGATAGATGATAGATAGATGATAGATAGATGATAGATATAGATGGATGGATGGGTAGATAGATAGATAGATAGATAGATGATAGATAGATAGATAAATAGATGATAGATAGATGATAGATAGATATAGATAGATAGATGATAGATAGATAGATAGATAGATGATGATAGATAGATGATGATGATAGATAGAAAGATAGATAGATAGATAGATGATAGATAGATGATAGATAGATAGATGATAGATAGATAGATAGATAGATAGATAGATAGATAGATAGATAGATAGATGATAGATGATAGATAGATAGATAGATAGATGATAGATAGATAGATAGATGGATGATAGATAGATAGATAGATAGATGATAGATGATAGATAGATAGATAGATAGATAGATAGATAGATATAGATAGATGATAGATAGATGATAGATGATAGATAGATAGATGATAGATAGATAGATAGATAGATAGATAGATGATAGATAGATAGGAGAGAACCTAGTTCCACCTACAGGGACTTAAATGTAGGATTATAAAGAAGTTTTGTGTCACCTAATGACATAAAGCATTAAATGGTAACACTTGGAGAAACTAAAATTCATTGAGAATTCTTGTGGTTAGTGTAAAGACCATACCATTCCAATAAATTACCGTAGTCTAGGGATGGGAATTCTTAGTAGATGTTTCCTGGTACCTAGCTTGTTGGTTGGTTTTAATCTTGAATGCTTTTAGCTTCCCAGTTCCACTGACTCCATTTGCATCATCACTGTCTTTTCAGAGAGAGGTGATGACTTAAACAGGTGTTTGGATCAAAAGCTTGAAAAATGGACCAATTATATTTTCATTTTGTACGCATATATGTAACTGGGGCGAGCCCATTTACTTTAATGGCAGCATCGTTTATGACTCCAGTTTTACCATACCCATTGAGTCAATCACCCATCTCCCACTACCCTTCTGAGAAAAGCCCCACCCCACCCTCCCACTATATATAAGGGTCTGGTGACTTCTGTGTGCATGCACACAAAAGCGTATACCCAGAACAAACTTAGTTGGTCTCTAAGGTGCTACTGGACAATTTTTATTTATTTATTTCGACTGCATCAGACCAACACAGCTACCTACCTGAATCTAGAAGCATTGTTGATGTTAGTCACGTATGTCCTCTTGTCACAGCTGTCACTCAGCTCTTCCAGCTACTGTCCAGGACTGCTGCAGTTATGTTTGGTCAGTCGCTATCGCAGCCCAACATTTGGATCCCTGTTTGGCAAATAGGCTTTGTTACTGCAACTGAAAACAAACTCCCTAGAAAATAAATGCAAACATTCACAGAAGATTAGATTACATATCTTGGTGACGAAGCTGACAAGGATAAGCCTTCAGAAAGAGAAACATGAAGTAGGATTTCTAAAAGAAAGCAGCTACGATCATAGACTCATGGTTGGCATCTGCCTGTCTTGGGAAATAATGGAAGAATGCACCTTTGGCGATGAAGTCAAACCATTGGAGACTTACGGCACCTGCTGTGGCTGTAGAGACTGATACGGATGTATTAAAAAAAGGACTAGCTAGCTTTGGAGATGTCGCAAGGACAATGCTTCCCTGAAACATAGGTTTGTACAGTGTTCTATAAGTTTTGGAAGAAAGTACTGGACTGTATAACTATGACTGTGCAGGAAAAAAGTTAAATCTTTCAGCAGAGAATATTCTTTTGAACTGTATACCTATTGTATAGAAATTAACAACAGGACAACGAAAATGGATTCTATGTGTCCTAATGGTGGCCAAGAGACTGATACCGATGAACTGGAAGAATAACAATATGATACCCTTTAATGTAGCAGGGTAATAATATGTACATATCTATTAGGATAGTAACACTATATCAATTTATAACGGAATTATGGGATTATATTGCATTGTGTTTGTGTGTGTGTGTGTGTGTGTGTGTGTGTGTGTGTGTGTGTGTATTCTTATACATAGCTTTGTTCTTTCTGCCCTCACTTCCCTCCTTTTTTCTCTGTATCACTTTTTTAAAAATAAAAAAGGTTTCAAAGAAGAATATGCAACTTCAATAGAGAAAGAAGCAAGTTTGTCAGAAACTTAGGAAGAAAGGAGGAAAGGCAGGTAGAGTGATTTATTCAGACTCAAGGACTAGAGACCACTAGATGTTGCTGGCATACAGCTCCCATCATTCCTGGCAAGTGGCCGCTATGGCTAACGGCTGATGGGACTTGGAGTCCACCAAAATCTGGAAAGCCACGGCTTTCCCATCCTCCTTTGTGCTCTTATAGGAAGCTTAACTCCTGATAATACCCTGATAAAGAGGAAACATTAACAGTCATTCGGATCACTGCAACGGTGACCCTTTCAGAAGCCCTCTGCTATTTTTTTTCCCCTTTAATAACCATATACTTTGAAGGAGAAAGCTAAAATGCAGCAAAAAGACAAAAGGGCACTTTTTGGATAATACTTGGGGGGAAATGGGGGGGGGAGAGAGAGAGTTCATTGAAAAGTGCACAAGAGAAATCATTCCCTTAAGAGCATTACTCTTCAACCCAGCTTTTCCTTGAACCTCAGGAAGAAAGTGATCTACGGAAGAATGTGTTTGAGATTTATGGGGAACATAATGCCTTTTTCAAGAAGGAAAATGCAATCCATCTCCAACTGCTTTTCTGCAGCTTTAGAAGCAGAGAGTCTTTTACCCTCTCTACTCATCCAACATCTGACAAGGCCTTGAGGGAGCCTCTGCGTGGCTTCCATAATTCTGGTCCAAATGGCAGGTGAAAGAGCTGGGGAGGTGAGGAACCAACCAAGCGCTTGGAAGAGAATGGGGTGAGGGCGGGGACCATATGCAATGCATGATGGGGAATCTGCTGGGGGCCCACACCTACAGGGGAAAAAATCCCCCATCTTGCTTCTTTACCTGCCTCTCACTCTGGCCCTGATTATGGTGGTGAAAGCAATATTTATTTGTTCATGCAGGAAATTTATAAGCCACTTTTTTATTTAAAAAAAGGAAATCGAGTGGTATACAGGTTTGTTTAAAAAGCCACATACACAAACCAATCGATCATTTAAAAGCAAGATAAAAATCAACAAAAGATTTGAAAAAGCGTGTTCTCCTTCATGGAGAGCACGTGTTGCGGTGGGGGCCGCCAGGACACTCCAAAGTTGGGGGCGGGCTAACTGATCGTTGGCCACTGATGCGATTGGGGCTTCCCTTGTTGCTGGGAAGAAATTAATGTTGCCATTTATTGATTGACAGCCAGAAATGCTAAAACTCCTTGCACGAGGCTAGGACTTCCTCTTTTCGCCCGTGCATCGGATTGCCCGTCCCTCCCTCCCTAGAATAGGGTTGTTCGCTTTGACCTTGCTATGCCTGTCATGGGGTCGTCTGCTTTGGAGCGGGGGCCTGGTAGGAACTTTGTCCATCTGGCTGATTGGCTGGGGCCATTTGGTTTTTGCCTACTGCGTAGCAAATCGTCACAACTTGTAAGGTTGCGGTTAGGCATTGGTTTATGGTTTGGTTGGTTGAGGGGCATGGATTGGCTGTGCCTGCCCCTCTAATGCTGCTGCTGCAAGGGATTCCGTTAAAGGAATTGGGGGCTAACTATTGCTTGTCCACTCTGTCAAGGGGGCTCGGGCCATAGCAATGAGCTCCTGGTTGCATTTGGGGTGAGGGCAGATTCCCTGCTCCGCGTAACCCCCAAGTGTATTCCCCCATTCTGACTTTCGCATCGTGCGGAATGTCAGTCTGTCCCCCATGGTGGGGGCAGATAGTCGCAACCAATGCCTAAGCAACCACTCACAAATTTGTATTTTAATAAAGTTGTGGCCAAAATTATGCCAAAAACCTTAAACAAAAATTCTGTGTGATGTGTGAGTTATTGGGGTGGACCTGGGGACCTCGGCACGCAACAAATGTAACTAAATCATGTGGCTAGAAAGGCAAGCTGAAACATAAAAAGTTTTCTGTCTAAAACACTGTAAGGGACTTTGGACAATGGGGAGAGTGGTTATATTTCCGTTTTGTGCTGTGGTTAGAAAGAAGCACCCTTCCCAAGAAAACAATTTGCCACCCCAAGATTGTGCAAAAACTAACAGAGAGCTTGAGGGGGCTGGTCTTTGACTGTCATCTGCTGCCATCTATTGGCAATAAACCAGATGAAAGCAACTCACTCCTGTTTATGCCTTGTTTATATGCCACTTATTCAGAAATAATGTAATGACCCAATGCCCACTGCAACGTTGCTTACCATGTTGTGTGCAACATTTTATCACCCCATTTATTTATCCATCTCTTAATTAGCACGGCAATGTTTTTTCTAGCTGTGTTTGTTAATTAAAATATTATCAAACCACCTTTCATTCTTTTAATGGTGAAAAACAAACCTTTCTGGGCACTGAGAATCAGGTTCTGAATTCATTTGACCATGCTAACATCTGGATAGTGACAAAAGAGGCAGAACCACACCAAAAAGAAGGTTAAATGGAAATTCGTTTTTAAAATAACTGACAAATGGGAGGGGGGAATGCAAATATTTGTTTACAAAATAATCAGTAAATGTCATAGAAATGATAAAACAGTAAATGATATGAAAATTATTGTATGAATGGAAGAATTACAATGAGTCTACCACAAGCACTAAACATTACATGGAGCAGCCCAGACTTCCCATGGACAAATATTTTAATGCTAAAAATACCCCAATGGACCTCGAAGGTTAATTAGGAGTCGTCTGTTAAGTTTTACATCATGTTCCCCACTGCAGTCATGAACTTAAGCTGAATGCAGACTGCTTGTATTTTTCCAGTGTTTATCGCTTTCTTCTCTTCTGCTATTTTTCTACTGCAATATATTATTCACAGGGTACTTTTTGTGACTGCTTTGCTTTCCCCCGATAACATTCCACTTACAGTGGCAGATGCGCATGTCTTCATTCTCTCTAGGGGCTCATATAAGCACTGCAAATAAGAAGCACGCTTGGCCTAAGTTGAAAAACTCTGCCTCCAGGGACTGTCTCTTAAAATGTACTTAGTTTCTCAGACAAAACGAATCCTACCAAATGCCTAGTTCGGAGACGCAGGGAAAAGTAATGTAGCAGGATAAAACTCCTTCAGGTGACATTTCCCTGGAGCCTTCTCTAGAAAAAGCGGCAATATTCCTGGGATGATGAGGCTGCTGCCTTGCTCTCCTGAATCATTGGTATAGTTTTACACTTAACATTAATATGGACTGAAAGATAGGAGACAAAGTTTAAGAGTGTGCTGTTTTAGAAGATTCCCCTGCCCTCCCACCCCGAGTAAGGTACATTAAATGTGTGCACATATTTAACAGGGGTGTGCACCAACCATGTTCAAACCTCAGTCTGGCACTTTGGAAAACACCAGTGAAGCATGGTTCCGATGCCAATGTGGAGGGTGATGGATGGAACACAGTGCTTTAGCCAGAACGGTCAGCTCTGAATTGGTTCTGTTCAGTGATTTCGCTCGGTGTTTCAGCTCAGTTCAGAGGGTGGCCGCATCTGGCTGTGCTCTGATGTCCATGAATCCCATCCTCATCACCAGTGTTAAGTTGTAGGTGAACATATCAGACGACACAGCGATTCTTCAAACAGCTCTTGTTTATTCACAGGCCAGAACAGAACTGAACTGAAGGGTTCAGCCAGCCTGCTTATATAGAGCTCCACGACAACGCAACTGTAACACTTTCTGTAACTATCCAATCACTGAACGTCATTTTCAATCCCTTATTTGCATATGTGGACCTGAGTGAAAACTATCTACAGTATCCCCCTGCTGGCCCATGGTGAGAACTTCAGTACAAAACATCAGGGACCCAATTGCAGTTTTGTGCCTGCCTATCTGATACAGAGTCCTCTGGGAAGGTGGCTATAATCCCCCCCCCATGTGCCATTGCTAATAAGGGCTGTAACATTTTGACAGAAGTGAGTGCAATTATGGAACATAATAGCCCCTTCAGAGTGGATTCAGCCTGCCAGGTTACAGGCAAATAGCTTCAAGTGGGGGGGGTTGCTGGACATTTATACATTATACAGTTGTACCTTGGAAGTCTAACGGAATCCATTCCAGAAGTCTGTTTGACTTCCAAAACATTCAAAAACCAAAGTGCGGCTCCTGCAGCCAATCAGAAGCCGCGGAAGCCCTGTCAGATGTTCGGCTTCCAAAAATAGTTCGCAAACTGGAACACTCACTTCCGGGTCTGCAGCATTCGGGAGCCAAAATGTTCGAGAACT